GGTGCGTCTGCAGGTGGGCCTGTACGTGGTGTTTCTTCTGGACTGGCTGTCAGTGTTCAGCCGTGATCAGCTCTTAGTTTTGCGTTTGGAGGATCATGCTTCAAACCCGGCGCTCAGCATGAGCAGGATCTTCAGCTTCCTGCGGTTAGGTCAGTCCTGATGAACTCGTGTTCATGTACATGCTGTGAGCAGCAGGGGGCGCCACGTTCATCATCCTCATCATCATCATCATCATCTGATTAGTGTTGTCATATAGACCGTGCAGATCAGAATATGTAATGTGTATTAAAAAGATAACTAAAGAGACAAAAAATATATGAACCAAATGTGATTTTAACACTTTATATATAATGCATTATGAAAGTAGTTTTTATGCATTAATTGTGCCTTGTAATGCACTTTATAATGCATCATATGAATAATTGTAACCACAGTTATAATACCTTATAATACTTCATATATTCATTGTTACACCTTTAGAATGTATAATTAGACCCCTTTAGACAAAATATTAGAATGCATTTTAACTCTGGTTACAATTATTTATGAAGAGATACAATGCATTGCTTTATTTGAAGCGTTGAACGGTGTTGTTCAGATGTGTCTGACTATGATCTGTGAATGAACTCTTGCAGGAGCGCTGTCTGATCAGAGACAGAGACAGATCACCAAGCGTCCCGCGTCGAACACCAGACGTCTGTCCGACAGGGATCTGGGCCCGATGCGTCCCATCACACGAGAGCTGCTCACGCTGTTTTACGCTCCGTTCAATCAGAGACTGGCAGAGGTTCTGCAGGACGAGTCGTTCACGTGGGACGGTCGCTCTGAACACACGTGACGGCCGTGTGATGTTCCTGGATCTCACAGACACCATGAAGTCTGTCCGAAAGCAAATGTGGAAGAATCTGGCTTTTATCTGTACTTTTAAATGGATAGTTCACCCAAAAATTATTTATAAAAACACTAAAGAAGATATTGTGGAAAAATTGGAAACTGAATAACTTTGGACCCCAGTGACTTTCACTGTACGGATGAAAACCACTGAGGCGTTTCTCAAAACATCTCATTTTGTGCTCCATAAAATAAAGACACGAGGGTGAATAAATGATGACAGAATGATCATTTTTAGGTGAACAATTAGCCTATAGATGAAAACTAAAGCACTAGAAATCCAAAAATCGCTTTATATCACTTTTACAGAATTACAAATGATGCAATCACTTGATTTTCCGTCAGAGAAAGATCTGCTCTGAGCATGTGCGGTGTTTATTCTCACGTTTCCTTCCCTCTGTCTGACTGCTGAACACACAACATTAACAAAAACAGCTGATGCTAACAAAAAGAGCAAATTCAAAAAAGATCAGCAGCAACAAAACAAAACAGTATTTCACGAGTTCACACTTACATGTAATAAATAGAGTAAAGGTTATGTGTATTTGGCGTGCTGTCCGAGGGGAGGGATGCTAGAAAACGTTCAAGGAACAGAGGCAAGTCTGCTGTGTATATGTAGCTCTTATCTTGTTAATTGAGTTGGTTACTGAATGAGCTCTTCTCGTGTTAATTAGGTTAATTATCTGAACATGCTCCTCCCGATAATAATTTAATCAAGCAGTTTTGAGGCATTTAAACATGCTAGAAAAATGTTAGCAACTTGCTACAAACATGTTAACGACATGCTAACAACATGCTAATCATGGTAGAAACATACTAGCAACATGCTAGTCATTCTATAAACATGCTAGCAACATGCTAATTATGTTAAAAACATGCTAGCAACATGCTAATCATGTTAGAAACATGCTAGCAACATGCTAAAACATGTTAAAACATTCTAGCTATGTTCTAATTCATGCTTTAAACATGCTATCTATCTATCATCTGACAATATCTATTTATCTATCTATCTATTTTTTATGTCAGACTGTATTGCCTTCTAAACATTCAAACTTTAAGCTTTAAAACTAATTTAAACTTCAAACTATTCCAAACTGAAAACCATCCAAATTTAAAAACTTTTTAAAACTTTTAAAAACTTTTAGGCTAGGCTTTCTCAAGCCAACTTCAAAGTTTGTCTTGACGAAATTTTTTAACTAGTTATTATTATTAGTATTATTATCTAATTAACATTAGGGCTTATTTGTTCCATCAGATTTCTTTTTCCGCGTTTTTTTACAGTGTTGTACGTTATAACCAATCACACACGATTCCGTTGAGTTTATGAATGCAGCGGCCAATCAGATGGTCAGTACTTGTCTTTTGAATATCTAGGGATTGTGTTGAAAGGTGCCTTTTAAATTCATTTTAAATAAATTTTTTAATCATTTTAAATTCCTTGTTTTATTGTTGTGATTATTTTTATAATTATTTTACTTCCTTTAATGTAAAGCACTTTGAATTACCATTGTGCATGAAATGTGCTATATAAATAAACTTGCCTTGCCTTGTTCAGGGTTTGATGGGAAGCTCCTGGATCTCGCATCAGTCCCGCAGTGGGAATATCTCAGCGTAACGGTGCGTGAGAACAGCTCCTGTGAAAAATCATAAATACTTTCTAGAGGTTTCTGCTGTTTGATGGCTGGAGCAGCTCAGGAAGCTCAAGATCACAAACACAGAGGCTTCTGGGTAAGGTACTTGTTCTGAAATTTATTATTTTGGCTTGACAGCGACGTTCTGTTATTGTATAAGCGAGGGTTTGGTGTTTTCAGGACTCAACCAGCAAACTCAGCACAGTCTGATCTGATTCACAGCGTCTGCTCAGATCCAACACGTTCCCCTAACATTAGAATACAGTTCCTGTTTGGTTAGATTTTGGTTACTAATTAATACGTTTTTTTTAGGTTTTATTTTTTACAACCATAAAATAAGGTTCCCAGATTGTTCCGGGAAGCAGAATTGTTGGGAATAATCCTGTATTGATGGATTTCCAGTGAATATTTCGGACAGTTTCCAAGGCCTCAGAGAGTCTGGTGTTGTTCTGTTGTCATGGAAACAGACGCTCAGGGGCCAGCATTAAAAACTAGTCTAACCAGCCAAAGGATAATCAGTCTTTTCCTTCTCAGATTACGCCAGATTGAGTTTTTATACATCTGACCAGTCTTAAAGAAACATATCAGAGGACTAACGTACAGTAAACTAGTCTAGTCAGTGTGTGCGGCTGGTTCAGTGTCAGCTTCTCTGTTTCATGAAGTCACCCGTTCTGGAGCTTCTGAGAGGATCTTCAGGCTCTGTGAAGCGTGTCCTGATGGAGTCTGATCCAGCGGTGGAGCTGATGGAGATCCGGCTGTCTAAAGTCTGCATGTGCTGGATCCTGGCAGATGTTCAGCTGGAGGTCTCAGACTGATCATCTGGTTTGTGTTATTCTGAATCACCAGGCCAGAACTGAGACGCTCTCCAGATCTATAACTCACATCTAACAATGTTCTTGCCATGTCTGTCTGCAGAAAATCATGATTCAGTGTTTTGAATGACTGACAGACACGTCATGCTGAGGATGTTCAGTGAAGTCACTGGCTTATGGAGAAGTTTAACTACATTTAACTATTTTAAGTCTGTTTTTCTTAGTTCCAGTGTGTTTTTGCAGGTGGGAGTATCTGATGTGAGTTTGCAGGAGAGCATCTCTGGAGGAAGAAGGCCAGCACGCGTCTCCTGTTTCTGATGATGATTCAGCAACGCTATTATAGATGATCTGCTTGTGAATCTATCAAATCTTCTTCTGACCCTCCAGATCTTCTGACTCACATGAAATGCATCTGATCTGACGGATCCTGCAGGGAATCGGTGTTGATCTTGGCCGCTCGTCAGAATCTCTGGAGATGAAATATTGAACAACTGATTAAAAGTCTAATGATTAGTTTGTGCAGACAGATGTTTTCCCCGAGGCGTTCTCAAGCGTTCCTCTGGGTTCCTGCAGCTTCAGGGTTTGGTTTGAGGAATGTGTGATGGATTTCAGGAAGTGCTGCTGGTATCTGAGGTTCATCTGATCAATCCAGTGAAAACATGGCTTTCATTTGCACAAACACTGAGGCCAGCCGATCTCTGAAATCAAGAGTCTGCAGCCTCAAGAGCGACGGAGTGATTTCTCTGAAGATTCTCAATCGGTGCGCTGCTTTATTTATGACTTTAATATCAGTCGAGTGAGTTTGGGTTTGTTATGGTGAGTGTTGTGCCAGTGTGAGGAACTGAAGCTCATAATGAGACGTCTGAACGCATCAGCATCACTGCGGCTCACAGCAGACGCTCATTACACTCGCGCTCTTTACTGAAATCCTCTGAGAATCTGAGACGACTGAAACGGCTTGTTTACTAAACTGGATTTGGATTTTACTGTAAAGCTGCTTTGTTATTAGTACAATGAAATTGCTCAAAAACATGGTATTACTATAGTACCCTCTCTAGGAAGCGGTGGTATTACAGTGGTATTTTATAGATGTAAAACTGAGAAGATTAATGCCAAATGCATAAATGATCAGTACAGCTGAAATGTTATAATTTAGTCATTATAAAAGAATGTGAGTGTGTGTGTGAGTGTGTGTGTGAGAGAGTGTGTGTGTGTGTGTGTGAGAGTGTGTGTGTGTGTGTGTGTGTGAGAGTGTGAGAGAGAGAGAGAG